TGTCACATCAGATAAAATTACCATACAAACCCTATGCTTCACTAGAACAACATTATATTAGGCACGCCAAAAATTTTCTGACTTCTTGCGTTTGACTTTTATAAAATATGTAAATGGTAACTCTATTACGGCACTGCATTTAAATTGGCTAGTTTTTAAGACTTTTAGTTTATTTATTTTGAATTTTTTGAATTTACTCATTTATTTTAATTTCATTTGTTTTTACTTCACTTGATTTAGTTTTATTTTAATTCAGATTTTCATTAGATTCAATTTACTTATTTTAGTTTATTTAGTTCAGTTTTAGTAATTTTATAGAATTACCATTGGTTCATGGATTCAGAACTATGATTCAGAACCATTCTCAATTTACGTGTATTTTTTGTGAGAAAAAACACTGTAGTGAGCCACCAACCATGATCCGAACCATGGCACGAATCCTTGCTCCAAATGCACAGTTAGTTTTCTTCCAAAATAATTGTTCATTCTCATTGTAATTAGTTTGGTGAGAGCGGATTCAAAATTTTGGAATTGAATTGGGTCAAAAATGCAAACAAAATGGGTTAAAATTTGAATTAGGAGCGCAGAAAAGAAGTCCAGCAGCAGCCTTCCATTCTTGCTCCGCCAAGTGTCGTAGATTGAATTTAAATAACTAAATTTTGTTCTCTAGCTAGTCGATCAATTAGGTCGACACATCAGAGATTGGTAGATTTATTAAAAAAAAAAAACTATTTGGCTCATAAAATATGTACCTATTTGGCTCACGAAGTAGTCGATATATATTAGCTAGACAAGAGTAAATATGTACCTAGGTAGCGATTGAGGACTATTAGAAGGCTCATAAAATTGTACTCGAGCATCAACTCGTGCAGTAACATCAAGCAGATGCCAGCAGTGAGTACTATAACACAAACTTTGAGTAAGGCCATAATATAGCTTTGCTAATATATGCAAAATTAATAACAAACTGAAGGGTTTGGAATATGCAAAAACAAGGAGATTGCTACTACCTAGCTATAAATATTTGCATGCATTGTTATATCAGATAAATTTAAAAAAAAAAAAAAAAATTGCAGACCACTGATGCGTGCTTCACTCAAACAACTAATTACTCGGAATTAAAAAAGACTAATAAGTGTACTTAACATGAGAATTTTTTACATTCCCATTCTCACCCTTTAAGGTTATTCTATATCAAACGTACCATTAATGATCGCTTGGTAATAAGTCCAAACTATCTATGTTGGACCACTAAATTGTTCTCATGCTAAGCATATGTATCGTTCAATGTTTTACATGTCCGATCGTGATGCAAGTCTCTATATACATACAAATATATATATATATATATATATATATATGTATATATGTATAGAATAAAATAAAAATAAGAGTGGGCTTTAATTAAATAAGTACATATATATGCAAGTCTCTATCTATATTCTCCTCAATTTTTCTGCTAACCTGCCCATGTGTATAGCTTTGCTTGATCACTTATTCAGAAAAGGAACAAAAAATTTCTTTAGTTTTTGGTGATGTATTTTCATATATTTTTCTTAGTTCCTTATCATGAATATTTGCTAGACGGCTACACCTTATTAATGTCCTTTATAAATTGGTGCCCAAGGTATTTATATTCTTAATAATGTGTAATTTTCAAAATGTTTATGATTTAAAGTTTATATCCTGGTTCGAGAGAAAATCTAGGAAGCAAATTTAACCAATTCAGAATTTACATTATCTCTTATTTGCCTAATAATCTTAGTTTTTACTTTTTAATAATTTTGGGTTAAACTTTTAGTTTTTCATTTTTTCATCTAATATTTATATATATATGTATATATATTTGAAGAAAAAAAAGGTTTACTGATGCAGGACTAAGACAAGTCAAAGAAAGAGAAGGAAAAGAAGAGCACATTTGAGATTGAGACAGAAGAGAGAATAGTAAAGATGATTTTTTCGTATTCAAGGTCCTAAGAAAAAAAAAATACAAATATTAGCTCTATTTATATAGATAAATCCCAATAATAATCAAACTGCTAAAAAAATCAAACTTAAAATTATGCCAAATAATCCTACAGATAAACATGAAATAAAAGTTTTAAAATCTCAAATCTTAAAATAACTATAAATCAAAAATAAATCCTAGAATAATTATCATCTCGCCATCAATAATATCAAAACCGAGAAATATTAATTCGTCTTTTGCCCTTGATTCTCCTAGCTTATGCATGGCAAGATTAAAATCTCATGGTGGAACGAGGCCTACATAAGTCGATTGATAGTTTTGGTCAATATGGTATGTTAGAATAAGGTACAATCACTTTTTCTTTATTTCTTTCTGAAAAAAATGAAACATAATATCGACATTTTGCGGATGGTTCTGATGGAGTTTCTCCGATGTTTCCTAATTTTTTTAGAACATCGGTATTTCTTGCTTTTTCAGCCTTTAAATCTAGTCAAAATCACACCGAATTGAAAAGTATACAGAACAAGGAGATGAAAATCTAAGTGAGTGTGAAGGTGATTCCATGAGACCATAAAAATTATGATTTATTTTAATTTATTTTCTTAGAAAAACACCAGCATACCCTTAAAAAAGGATAAGTGGATAAGAACTGTTTGTAATTTAGTAAATGTGATCAAAGAGATACTGATACAACACATTTTAAAGTTTAAGGGGTTGATTATCACGAAAAAAGTCAATATATAATATTTCTACCATAAAATAATTTTGAGTAGAAATAAATTATATTTTATGCATCCACATATTCTTCATGACAATTGAAAATGAGTTACAGCAGGAAAGCTCTTGCAGATATACTCTTTCACGTCTGATTCATGTGCATGAATAATGTTCCAAGTAACGTAGCTTTTACTTCCAAATAAAAAATCAACGTAGAATATTCATGCGCATGATATCTTCTCCCATATCCATGTCGAGACTTTAAAATATATAAAATGTTTTGGAAATGTCGACGATGTCGTGGACACTGCGATAGATGCATGTCTAACATACGATGAAAAAATAAAACTGAAGTGTGTGACAAAGAAATACTATGTAGGTAAACATAAAACGAAAACAGGGAAATAAAAGAATAGAAATCTGAAAATATAATAGCTCCAACTAATTTCTTATATAAGTTTTATTTAAACTTTTTGTAATAGAAAACACGAGAGTAAAAAATACATCTGAAGTGTGTGACAAGAAATTGATATATATTACTTAGACATTGAGATTTTTGTCATTTTCGACCTTGAGTTTAACTGAGAAACAGTAAATATGTAACTAGATTGAGGACTATTAGAAGCCTCATAAAATTGTACTCGAGCATCAACTCGTACAATAACACAGAAATTTTGAGTAAGACCATAATATAGCTTTGCTAATACATGCAAAATTAATAACAAACTGAAGGGTTCGGAATATGCAAAAACAAGGGGATTGCTACTACCTAGCTATAAATAGTTGCATGCATTGTTATATCAGATAAATTTAAAAAAAAAAAAAAATTGCAGACCACTGATGCGTGCTTCACCTGAATAACTAATGACTCGGCATAAAAAGCACGTACCCTCTTTTCTTCTTTTTGTTTTTTTTTTCTTCCTCTTAACCCAATTGCCGTCGGATAACCCAATTAATGATCCATATGTTGGACCAATATATTGTGTCATGTGATACATGACACATATTGCATTTGAAATTCAAAGTATAATATATATGCATATATTATATATATATATATATATATGTCTATGTATATATGCACGAATACTTGATCCAATTTATAGAAAATACTTGATTAATTAAAAAGCATATCAAAATACTGTAAACTTCATTATTGTTTAAAGATAAACTTACGCTTTCTTAAAAGTCCTCAACGTCACAGTGGTTCAGTGAACTGCAAGTTTTTTAGTAAACACTTGGTAATAGGTCAAACTATCTATGTTAGACCACTAAATTGTTCTCATGCTAAGCATATGTATGGTTCTATGTTTTACATGTCCGAACTCTATATACACATATAAATATATATATATATATATATATACAAACATACATACATATGTATACATCACATACATGTACTCTAAAATAAAATAGAAGTAGAGAGTATATGGCTAAATTGAGGAACACATGTTTTTTCTTTGATAAGTTACATATGTATATATATACATACAAACATATGTACTATACAACACATACATCTACAAATATATATTTTAGGGTCAATTAATCCTCTTGCTTCCGTAGTAAGTTCACCACCCAAACCCGGCATCCGTTTTTCTCACTCTCTCACCCATGAGTTTTCGTTTCTCGCAAGTCACGTTTAAGACTTTTTTTAATTAGCAGAATATTTTGCATTATTTCTGCAATAATTTGTGATGGGAATGCGATCTGCAAATGCAATTCGGGCCATTATATATATATATATATATATATCTGCAAAGAACTAAGAAGCGCATACATATTTATATGCGTAAAAAACAAGTCCAATTAGTTGTAAATAATTTATTCGTATAAATTGGTACAGTACTTTAGGAGTTCTTCAAGGCGTGTCTTTCATTATAGCTATCCGTCACAATATTGTCTTCCGAGTTGTAATTGCTTTCGCTTTTAGTTGCTATATATTTTCAATTGTATTATATATATCGATTTCGCAAGGGGCTGTAAAGTATTGTTTTTCTATTATTAAGTGTTTTTTTTACACAATTAATAATTCAATTTTTTATTATAATTTTTTTTTTTAAAAGTTTGAGTTGCAATACTCGAATTGTAAAAAGAACACATCCAAAAACTCAAAAGTTCTAAGTGAGAGGAAAAAAAATGGACAATTCTGTCTAGTTGAATGTCTGTCTTTCTTTTTTGATATATTAGAAGACCCATTTGTGAACAAAAAAAAAAAAAGTAAAAGCATGAAGGACCATAAAAGGTGAAGTTGATATGTAACTTCATCATTATTCAAGGATAAGCATACACTTATTTAAAAGCCACAACATTAGTAATTGCGGCCATATATGGGGGCGCAAGCTCTCATTATTTATTCCAAGTTTTCTATGACTTGGTAGTAATATATTACAAGCCTATTTATGAGGAGAAGATTCTCAGTCCTTGCATACTTTAGGGTTGCATGTGTCAACCTCGTATGTGCACTGGCACATCGGTGGTTGCTTTTTATCACACATACAATTTGACCCGCAAACCAATGGGCAACAGCCAACCTTCATGTCTGTCCGATAGCATTTTTTGTTTCCATGTTTTCCTTTGCACTCGCAGTTTGAGCAGAAGCTTTTCGGTATACCTGAATATATATATATATATATAAACACGCGTGCAAGCATGTGATGAAAATCGGAGACAATATTGTGTTTAAAACCTTAATTAGAGTACATAGTATAACTAAAGAAGTAGATATACACGTACCAAGAGAGTGATGATCATTAGAAACCCCAGAAAGGTCTCCAGCATCAACTATTGGAGCAACAAGCACAACAAACAGCAGCAACAACAAAACAGAAACTTTGATGAAGGCCATAATATTTTTTTTCTGATAATATTTATGGAAGATGAATATGTGCATAAACAAGGGTCTTCTAGGACCTATAAATAGTTGCATATTGGGGACTGTCACATCAGATAAAATTACCATACAGACCCTATGCCTCACTAGAACAACATTACATTAGGCACGCCAAATATTTTCTGACTTCTTTGCGTTTGACTTTTATAATATATGTACATGGTAACTCTATTAAAAATAGAATTATTGCATTGCATTTAAATTGGCTAGTTTTTGAGACTTTTAGTTTATTTATTTTAGTTTATTTTGATTTTTTTAATTTACTCATTTATTTTAATTTTACTTAATTTCATTTGTTTTTACTACATGATTTAGTTTTATTTTAATTCAGACTTTCATTAAATTCATTTTACTTATTTTAGTTTATTTAGTTTAGTTTTAGTAATTTTTATTTAGTTTCCTTCCAAAATAATTGTTCATTCTCATTGTAATTAGTTTGGTGAGAGGGGATTAAAGTGCAAAATTTTGGAATTGAATTGGGTCAAAAATGCAAACAAAATGGGTTAAAATTCGAATTAGGAGCTCAGAAAAAAAGTCCAGCAGCAGCCTACCACTCTTGCTCCGCCAAGTGTCGTTGTTGTCTCCCACTGTCTCCATGGTCCCCAGTGAGAAGCCGCCACCTGTCCAGCACATCAGAGGCTCTTTTGCTTCCCTTTCTCTCTCCATTTGGCATGGATCGAAGGGCATTCCATCAGCCCTCTCTTAAACTTAGAGGAGCAGCCGCCATGCTCAAGAGGAAGCTTCCGAGCATATTCCTTTGACACAGACCCCGAGAAAGCAAAGGGGGAGAAGCATTCATAAGACTTTGTCATTTTTGTGAGAAAAAATACACAAAAATATTTTCTTTTATTTTGCTTTAGGATTTGATTTCTAGTTTTAAATTTAAGTTTTTATTTCCAATAAATATTTCATCAGGAGAGAAAGCAAACAGTTAGAAATTAAGGAGGAGAGGTGAAGAAGACTCTAATAAAAATGAGTTTTTCATCCCTATTCTCTTCTTTTTACTTTTGTGAATTATAAATGGTGAAACTCTTGATTTTAGTTTGTTAAATTTTGGTTGTGGAATAGTTATTTTTCTAGAGCTTTGATTTTACCTAATTATGAAGTGTTGATTTATTTTAAGTGATTTTTCATGATTTATTGTGTTGTTTTGTTCTTAATGTTCTAATTTATTGGGAAATGAATTTGTTGATTTTATGTATAACTTAGGCACTCGGGAGAGATAATTTATATGTCCGATTTAGATAGCACAACTTAGATTTTTAGAGTTAGGGAAGCTTCAAATACCTTCATAGTCATTAAGAGAGCTAGTTTTTAATGAATGTTTAAATTACTCAGTTTTTAATAGGGATATTGGAATCGGGACTTGGGTATATTATCTAATTTGACGCTCGGAAAAGGTAATTGGGTTAATTAAAAGTTCTTGACTAATAAGTTAGGAGATTCACTTAGTAATAAATTGGCACGGATTAATTATGGTGAAATTCCTACTCTAATATTTCTATCACTTGTTTTGCCAGTTTATTTTACTTGCTTAGTTATTTTTATAACTTACTTTTATTCATTATTTATTCCAGTAGTTCAAATAATCTTAGAGTCGATCAATTTTGATAATTAATAAAAATTAAACACATTCATCGTAGAATCGACACTCTTATTCACACTTTATTACTTGAGGCGACTGGTGCACTTGCAAGCACAAAATCACACAATAAGTTTTTGTACACAAACCAATGATGAGTCCAAATTTGGACCACTATTTTCTTAATAAAATGTGTACACGAAAAGATCTACACAGTTGCATTATAGCAGAATAATTTTCTACTGGCCCTATAATAATTGTAAATATATATATACATATATATTATATGCTTTTTCTCCAGTCCCTCTAGAGGAACTGTTCCTTCAATGTAATTATATGCAAGTGGGAAACGTAACATTATAGTTATTAAGCATAATACATATATTTTATAAGATGACAAGACAATTATTTGAGGTAACATGAACACTAAAAATACGTTACACGAAGAAGTTAAATTATATGATATAATTGTTGTACTGTAATTAACACAATAAGGACGTTTAAAAGGTGTAATAATAGTCAGAATAATTAAATATATTGATATCTCATATTTTTAGTTTTATGTTAAATAAATATTATCATATTACGTTTTACACTTTTATACATTATGTCAGAGAGACTGAAAAAAAATCCTATACAATGTGTGTGTGTATTGTGGCATCTATAGGTATGTCATCACTTTGTATTGTGGCATCTAGAGGTTTCAATGCGTAAGTAAATTGGTGATTTATAATAATAATAATAATAATTATTATTATTAGTATTATTATATATTTGGAGGAAAGGAAGGAGGAGAAGAACAAAAGAGAAAATGATGGCTCGGCAATGTCAAAACGGGTTACTAAAACCATTGTTATAGTTTGCTGAAATTTTTGCCCAACATTTATAAGTACGTGCTGCTTTTTTAATTTACATTGGACGACATTTTTTTTCTTTAAAGGTTGGTCGTCTTATTCATAAGCTACTAGTGTGCGAAACTAAGGTAAATAATTTTAAACAAAGGGCAAATAAGAAAAATTTAGAGATCGAAATTTTTAAAAGATATAATTACAAATTTCAATAAGGTAACTATTAATAGGAAAATTTATCCATGCTATAAGTTTAGGGTTAATTTTAAATTTGACCCGGCAAAATACAATTTATTTCTTTGTACTCCAACAACTAGAAAAAAAAAGACAAAAAAACTTACGAAGCTAATCAAAATTAAGTTATAGTATTGGTATCTTTCTCTAAGGAATCAAATTTTTTTAACAGTTTTAATTTTATAAGAGCCATGTGAATAGTTTGTAAATGAAAATTTTGAATTGTTTTAATGACATGTGGATCACTAGACGAGTACAAATGATTAAAATAATTAGAAAATTGATGTCTATACGATCGATGGAAGTATTAAAGTGACAACTTATCATTATCTGAAAAGATATTTTTATCCCCTTTTGAATCGTAAAGGTTAAACAGAAATAAATCCATTATTTGTGGGAACATTTAGAATCAACCCTAAGTTTTGTTGATTGCTAAAGTTTATCTTTAAGGTTTCCACAACTATTTCTTTTTTGTTAAAAAAAAGGTTTATACGTTGATTAAAAAAATCGAAAATACTACTGACTCTTTCAAGTTGTATGATTAATAAATTCCAGATTAAAATTTCTATTGCCTGTACTGGATGTCTACATTTTTTTTTTCAGAAATATAAAACGAATTCTATAATTAAGGCCTAAGGTATTATTAAGCCAACCCTGCTAAGAAGCTTCTATCTCCAAGAAGTGATGCGCAGGATCTATCACTGTTGCTATAGGGAAACTACATGGCCTAAACCAACAAGATCTAATATTTATATTTTTCTTATATATTTCTATATTTCCGTTTTTCAGTTCATCTAAAAATTATTATTCCGCCTCACAGATGTGTGATGAAGAAAGCTTTATATAAATATCGCCTTATCTCTTAGATTCCAAATATGTTCATGAAATTAAAAAAAAAAAAGGATAAAAATTACTGAAGTTGGAAGTTCATTATTAATTATGATAAGCTTACACTTATTTAAAAGCCTCAACATCAAATTAAGTGGTTGAGGCGAGGGCAAGCTTTAATTAATTACCCCAAGTTTTTAGTGACTTGCTGTCGTATTATAAACATATATTAGACGTATTTTTTTTAATAAAAAATACACATAAATTAAAAATGATTCTAAATCCATGAACTAAATGTTTACTTAGTGACTTGGTGTCGTATTATAAATATATATTAGACGTAATATATTATATATATATATATAGCATGCAATATATAGTTTCTAATTAATTATTCGTCATGCTTTTGATAGCGAGAAGATTCTCAAACGTCACCATATGATCTGTAGTACTGATGGGGTTGTATTTTTCAAGAATGCAGGTCTCATATCTGCAAAAGCATATTGGTGGGAAACTTCATGTACAAATGCAAGGTTCTCCGCAAACTAAGGGTCCTGTCCGTATGATAACATTTTTTGGTTCCGGATACTCTGTTTTGCACTAACAGCTAGAGCAGAATTGATCTACTCGACCTAAGTAATATATATATATATATATGTATATATGTTTGTACATATGGTAGCTGCATGTGAAAATCGTAGACTTATGTATATCTTGCAGAATAAGCAATCTTTCACCAATCTAAGGGCATGTTTACTTGGCATTAAAAGAAAAAAGAAAGTAATGAGTGATTTTTTTTTTCTATGTTTACTTACAAAATTGATAATGGAAATTTAATGGGCCTCACATAATATGAGAAATGAGAAAAAAGAATACCAATTTTTATACTTCTCTTATTATTGATTTTTTGTCAAAAGGAATGGATGTTAAATTTACTTATCTACAATGACTTACTATACAATAATGATTATTTAATTATGTAAAAGAACATTTTAATGATGAAAAATCATAGAATCAATTTCTTTATCACTCTCTTTATCACCATTTAGTTTCTCTTTTTATCACTTGTCTTTTAGTTTTCCCATAAAAAAGTAAGAAATCTCTAAACTATCTTTTTACTATTTATTATAAACATGCCATCACAAAACAAATTTTTGGTTTAGCAAGAGGAGAAGGAAGCTCTCAGACTATAATAAACCATTTTTTTTATCGTTTAAATTAAATATGACTGTTTCGTTTTTTTCAAAAGAAAAAATAGAGAAGAAAATTCAAAAAAAGTTGGTTGATAAAAATTAGGTTCGTCATATGTTCCTTTTTTTGGGATGAAAAAATTGTTATTTTGATTCTTCTCTTTGTCTAGCTAACATTTTTTGAAGTATTATGTAAGTTATTGAAGATCTCTTTTATTCTGAAAAGTTTAATTTTTTTAACTTATTTAGTTGCAAAAAAAAAAAAAAAAAAACAAGTATTCAAC